ACTCAAAACTACAGCAAAGACACAAACACCACAAAGACACAAAAACCATATATGAAAGCCCCCAGTCCTCCTAAAGAGACACAAAACGGCTACACAGTACAAAAGTGTCTTTGTGGTCGTTTTGAGTCTCCTAATATATGTTTAGAGTCTTAGTGGTAGGTTTTTGTGTCTTTGTGGTGTTTGTGTCTTTGCTGTAGTTTTGAGTCTCTTTGTGGTTGTACTTTTAGTATTGAAGTCACTTTCAACACGATAGTCTGACCTGAATAATATGAGATTAACAGGCTGCAGGAAAGTAAATGTCCTCCGTGAAATACATTTATTTCAATCATCCTTTGTTCCGTCCAAAGAAAATACAGTTTAACAGATTCAGATCTCAGATCAGTTTTCCTCCTTTTCTTTCAAATGTATTTAGTTAAATTGTATAAATCATAATATAATATTGAAAATGTTATTATATTACATCATATAATCTGGGATGTCTTTGCTTTATTTAACTGACAGATAGATGTTTGTTATTATTATTATACTGCTTTTGTTTTCTCTCTTTTTTTATTTCCTTACATCAAAGTTAAAAATGAAGCAGAAACAAACATTACATTCAAATGTTGCTCGAATATTGGACTTTATTCAGATTAATATGTTTGCTTTAGACAAAGAAAAAAATGTTTTTTCTTTAGCAGCCAATGAAAAACTCTCAGGTGGACCTTAAAGCGAAAAGGATCAGGAATCACCAGACATGAAAGTCTGCAGGTTTCTACAGGTTTCTAGTGGTGATTTATGTCATATTTCATTGAATCACAGAGGAACCAAGTCATTGGATTATCTGCTGAGTCCTTAAAGGCACCGCGGTGAGTAAATAAGGCCGAATAGAAAAAACAGCAGCAAAATAACTTCAAACATTAAAAACCTTTTCAAATATAAAGATACAAAAGTATAAAAAATTAATTACAAATAAACAAAGTCAATGAAGAGTTTGTCCCAGATGTTGAAGAAGCAGCTGTGATGATGATGATGAGTCAGATTAGCATGCGTCAGTTCTCATCCAATCAGCATGCTCAGGAATGTGTGCATCAGTTAGCACACATGTGTTAGCATGCGTCCGTTAGCATGCATCTGTTAGCACATGTGCATTGGCATGCGTCAGTTAGCATGTGTCCGTTAGCACACATGTGTTAGCATGCATCCGTTAGCATGCATCTGTTAGCACATGTGTGTTGGCATGCGTCAGTTAGCATGTGTCCGTTAGCACACGTGTGTTAGCATGCATCCGTTAGCATGCATCTGTTAGCACATGTGTGTTAGCATGTGTCAGTTAGCACGTGTCCAATTAGCACACGTGTGTTAGCTTGCAGCGGTGACGGTGGCAGATTTGCTGCTGGGGGTGGAGGGGGCGGGGCTTGGCGCTTGCAGCAGGCTGACAAACAGGAAGAGGGTGGAGGTGGGCAGGTAGACGCAGAGAAAGAGGACGACGTCTTCGCTGAGACAGAGGACAAAGCCGCTCTGCTCCGTCAGCACCCAGTCCACCAGCACCCCCACCAGCAAGTAGTACACCTGGAACTCCTGAAGCTCCTCCCACTCCCCCCCGTCCTGCTCCAGCTCCACCCCCACTTCCTCTGACAACGAGCTCTTCTCCTTGGCCATGCCCCCTCTGCTGTCACTCACCATGGGCTTCATCTCCGCCCCCTCTGACACCGCCTCCTTCACCCGGCTCCGTCCACGCTCCACCGCCCGTCCCAACCGCCGGCTGCTCTCCACAAACTCCTGCGGTGGCGTGTCCACAAGAGGGGGGGTGGGCCAAAGAAGGGAGGGGTCCAAATGTCAGAAAGACAAACAAACTCCCACAATTCTCTGCAACAAGGCTCTAACGCTGAAGGTAGTCTTTCTCACCTACGTCCTGTCGTTGGTATCATCACCTAATATCATTAAACACGTTCTCACCATCAGAGATTTGTTAATATTAATATAAATATAAACAAGTTCTCACCATCAGAGCTTTGTCCATGAAGAACTCTTTCCCCGGAGTGCCGTCGTTGTACTTGGTGTCGATGGCGAAGCAGAGGAAGAGGACGTCCACCACGATCTCAAAGATGGACAGGAAGCAGTGAGCCACCAGGAAGGAGAAGAGACACACGATGATCAGAGGCAGTAGCCACTCGGCGTAATCCCGCTGGTAGTTCAGGAGGAGGACGCCGGCGAACGCCGTGGACGTCACGATCAAGATCTGAGGATACATTCAGTTATATACGTACGTCAAAGAAACAGGAAAAACAACAACAACAGTCTAAAGATGCCAATCGGTCATCTGTCTATTGTGACGACCCTCCTCCTATCATACACTAGGTGCCCGTTTGTGTTTCCTTTGTTATAGGTGCTCATTGAAGGCCCGTCAACAGGATGAGCCTCACCTGTGCCGGTGTAGCTCTGCCTTAAAATACCCTCTCCAGTTGGCAGCCGGCACCTCGGAAAGGAAGATCTTTGTTGACTGGCTCACCACAGTTGTTGCTGTCTTTGTGTAAAGTGCTGTTAATCTTGGGTTACTTGTTTTTGGCGAGATAAATAAATTGGATATTTTGGCCGCCAGATCGTTGTCTCCCTGTTTTTGTTGCAGTCTCTGACCCGGGCTGTGACTCTATCAAGAGAAACCTCTAAGCTAAAGATAAATACATCAAATGTTTTGACTTTTATCTTCAGAGTAAACTATGCATCCACAACCAGCATGAGAAACCTTTCACAATAAAAACCTTCAGCTGATTTACCTTTTGAAAGCTTTTATTGTGAAACAAGAGCAGCAGGAAGTTGTGAATTATCTACCATTGAGAGCCTTGTGGTTGGCAAAAAAATCAATGATCTTTTGTGGTACACTTTCAACTGAAACGCTTCATAATCGACTGCAGCTGATCACTGAGCTGGGGATTTCTTCACATTATTTAACCCTGCAGCCTGTAGGGCGCACTAACAGGATGTTACTTGTCAGTCTGGTTCTTTAGGTGGTCATGGGGCCAGAACCACTTGGGACCAGTCAGATCCAGATTCAGCTCACCTTCCCCAGGAAAAGCACAAAGTCTCCGACGGCGTTGATTGTGGCGACGCGCAGAGCGTTTTCCACCAGGATCACGAAGGCGTCGCGTGCAGACGTGCAGAAACTGGTGCTGTTGATGGCTGTGGCTGCATATGCATTCTGGGAAATGAAACCACAGGTGAGACGGTCACAATAAAAACAAGAATAAGAGTCAGAGAAAATAAGGTTTGTTTGTTACCTGATTGAGATAGTTGAGGCACGTCTCCAAACACCACAGACAGCAGATACAAGTTTTCAGCAGACAGCGAGCACACGCATTCTCCTGAGAGATAAAAATACATCATCACATGATCAATATCAATATATGCATACATATACTGTGTGTATATATATAAATATTTATATATATATATATATATATATTAGTGCTGGGCAAGTTAACGCGTTATTATCTCGTTAATGCATTCATTAATTAACGCCGACAATTATTTTATCGTGCGTTAACGCAGTTTTTTTTAAATTATTAAGCGGACATTTTTAACACAAGAACCAGCCAACAGGTCGGCAGCGAACAGCTGTTTGTGTAGCGTCTCTTCCGTCTCTTCCTGTTTCCTTCACCTACATTCCCCTGGGTCCTAAGTCCCTCCAGGTACAGCTCCTTATCACCCTCTATGTGCCAACGTACATTTATAACGAATACCACACATATTACGGTAATCAGCGTTGCATATGTGTCTGACCAGAATACCAAAAAAATAAAAAATAAATGATTCATTTAAATTATTGTTTTAGAGTTTTTAAAGTGTTTTGTTTGTAATATGTATAATAAGCATCATTTAATATCACTACTGAGAATTAAACAAACATAAAAACATGACGTAGATAGGTTTACAGTTTTCAAGAAGTATATTTAAATATCATCTCTTACACACATGAAGATAAAGTTGTGAACACCGGCTGAATATCTATGATCAGAATCATTATAACTGTGTTATAACTGCTGCTGTGTAAAGGGAATACTGCTGCTAACAAGAACCTGATGTGTTTAAAGTGTTTACAAACCAAATGTTATTGACCTGTTGTTCATATAGCAGTACATTAAAATAAAAGTGCGCAATACACTACTTTTGAATTCATTATTGAACTTTGTACATAACAATGCGATTAATCGCGATTAAAAATTGTAATCGTTGCCCAGCACTAATACATATATAAAGTTTTGTTCCTTTCCTTTGAGCTGTTAATAAAATTTTGTTCCTTTCCTTTGAGCTGTTAATAAAGTTTTGTACCTTTCCT